TGCTATGGGGGAGAATGGTAGTGGCACCGACGGCGAAGAAGGCGAATACATGGACGAAGACGAAGATGACGATTCGGAGAATAACGACAGCCCCATGGTCGATTTCAGTCATGCAGATGACTCTCAGGAGTCGTGGCAAGATGGGCAGCAGCCCGGCGGCCCAGAAGACGAACCGTGGCCAGGCATAGAAGATGCGGAGAACCGTGATCCAGATGAGACCATCGATATTCACGTCGACGACGACGCCATGAGCGATGCGGACAATCTCGAAAACGCCAGCCAGAGGTCAAGCGTTCCGAGCGAGTATCCGAGTACCCAGCGCGCGTGGACGGGCGCTGAGGAGGCCTTCCGGGTTTATGAGGACGGCAATCCTGCGGCCGACAGCTCAGGCGTTGTGAAATGAAATGATGGGTTATATTCCTACTAGATTGTTGCATCTAGACCATGTGTCTTGATTTGTCCTGGCGTATTATGATATGATATGCGATATGGAAGCCCTAAGGAGGTTGGCGCCGATTGATACGGGCAGCGGCGTTTGGGGTGCAATATGTTGTTGACCATATATCATTGCTATTCAACTGCTTCCAATACTCGTTTATACAGAGAGAGGAGGGGATGTGTCCTATCGAGCGCTCAAACTTTCATTTTCCTACATCTGCGCTTTCTGGTTACGGCTTCGGCTGCTGGGTGCTACTGCTCATATCCTGTCATGTGGTGGTATATAACGATGGAATGGAATGAAGTGAGGCGTTGGGTACTTATTAATCGGAAGGCCAAGCGGTTCTTTGTTCTGTCTGTTCAGCTAAGACGAGTCACCCCTCACGCACGTGCGAAAAAGAAAGGGAGAAGCAAAGAACATTGAAGGAAATGGGCATAAGCTGGAATTTGCTACGCATTAGATAGACAGCGCGAGGACGCTAGTATGGTTGCCCTACGGGATCTCTAAATGTTCCAAGGTTCTCTCAACTCGCTGTATAGGAGTATAGGGTGAATATACCTGGGTGTCTAGGGTGTTTAGGGGTGGTATAGGTGAATATATGGTTGTCTACATGATGCGTGTGTGATTGTGTTATGTCTTGTGTATTGTGTCTTGTGGCCCGCGGGCTTTCTACTTGAGATGTATGCTGCTTGCTTCGTAGCGCATTCACTCTTGAAGGTCGATTGGTCTCTACGCGTATGTGAGATACCTTGTACTACGCATGCGGTACTTAGGAGCTCAACTTTTCCATAGTACGATATAATAGTACGTGTGATTGCTAGATTCCTGTAGATTTAAATTGATTATCGAAATAACTACCTTATTCAGAGGACTAGAGTATGTCCAATTCCACACGTACTTAGCTAGCACGCGTCCTTTCCATATAATCAATTCGGCCGATATGTCGAGTTTACTATGTTGGCAAGTCCTCGCCTAACACTGCTAACACGTTGTCACGGTCCATACCAGGCTCCTAGGGGAAATACCGTTTGATGTGGTAGCTGTCGGATGACTGTCACGATGCCAACCATAGGTAGGGGGTACGAGCTCTGTTGTTCCGCAAGGAACTAAACCTAACTAGCCAGCCCCTGGTATATACTGGAAACGACTCCTTTGTCTACGCTGTCTCAGACCGAACCCTGACAGGCCAGACCTCTGACAATGGTTACCTAGGTAGTGTTGAGCCTATTAACCCATCTTCCCCGAATCCTGACACCGCCGGGTTAGCAACCTGGGAGCTGACGACCAGCGAGCCTCGGGTTATCTAATTTTGCCTTTGTGGGTTATGCGATGTATTTAATTTGTGTGGCTGGCCACTTCGACTTCACCGGGATGTGGATCGGGTTATCGTTGATCATGAGCTTAGTAAATGACCGGGTCCAAAATGAAGCATATACGCGACGACGTAACTCCCTTTTCCAGATTTTCTTGAGTTGGAGTCTTTTCAAATTGAGGTATTGGCTACCTTAGGTACGTAGGCAGGATAACGAGAGAAGCTAACTCCTCAAGCTAGATGAGCTGCGCGGTTAGCGAGACCTTCTGTGGCCTTTGTTCCAGGATAGTTTTAATGGAGGATGAAGATATGAGAGTAATTAATATGACTGCCAAAGGTTCAGATTGTATTTTTAAGTAGATACCTATGTTCAAAAAGACCGCGCCAATAACTCCGGAAGAGAAAGGTCCTCCTCCTTTATCTCAGTTTGTCGGTGTCTTCGTCTGGTTTGAGCGTCACGATCTACTCAGGCTTATCCCAGCGTGCTCATCTGGTGTCTCCTAAATCCACCGTATGTTCGGCTGGCTTACCATTGATCTGCCATATACTGATAGAGCCGCGAACGTTCACTTAGCTCTATCTCGTTGGAGCGTGTCATGCTCAACTCTGCCATTTGTTCTCAATGAAGGCAGCTGTCTTCCCAATAATTCAAGTCGAAGGCCATCCCACTTGGCGTAGTAGACCAAGATAACAACGGGATCAGAGCCGCAAGTATGAGAATGCCTATTTCTAGTAAGCGTATTGCGGTTTCAGGTACCAACACGTTAGGATGTATCTTACCAAGGACATAGCATTTGATACCGGGGATCACGTTTTGCAGCCGTAGAAGCCAAGCTGCTCTCCAATTATTTTGCGGAGGCACATAATCTGGCACATCTAGTATGTCCGGCGACGGAAGTTCCTCAAAGAGAGCGGCGGTGTTTGCTGCCTCGTCAGCCTCGATCCATGCGGTGTTCCTATCGATGAGTTCTAATAATCGATTCCTGTTATACGCATCAGAATCTGCGGTGAACTCCCTGGGTGTCTTGTGGGGTATTGATAGAGGTGTATCGAGTCACATTGGTGACAACCTAGGTAGTCTTGTACTGTCTTGACCCATCTCCCACCATAAATAAGATGCACCTAGAACTGAAACATGAGCCAACAAATATGGAAGACTGTAATCGTGACCTAAGGACCCGCATCTGTGGACTATAGCTAGCACGATGTAGGCTTTTTGTTGGTACGGAGAGGATATGGAATCGAGCACGTGTTGAAGGAAATCAGTCAATTCTTTGGGTTTGGCATCAACAAGTTTCCATAGCTCGCCTAGACTGCACTTGAAACATCTTCATCTTCGTATTTCGGACATCACAAGCCGCACCCACAAGAACACGCCACTGGCTGCCTCGATAATATATATGTCTTACTAGGCAGTCGTATTTGCATGTGTGCGACCGATCGTGACGCTGGCATAGGTTCACGGCTTCTCCCCTACAGGCTTCTTCTAGTTTCTCGAACTGAGGAATGCGTCTTCAAGCGTTCAGTAACATATGTCCGTATGTCTTCCTCGGTGGGGTTCTGCAATCGAATTCTCTGGTGCCGGGAAATGGTCGCGAAAGCTTCGAACTCTCTGCTGGAGACGCATATTTTGACCTTCCCTTCGGATTGTGAGGTCCGGTTTTGGATGAGTTGCACCAAATCATAGTAGTCTTCGGCGTTTCTACTTTCGTCAAAATCGTCAAGGCCATCGATAAGTATGAATATAGTATCGCTGGCGTGATGCTTGTCGCGTCTAACCTCGCTGCTTGGAGAGGGGTTCAGTTCAAGGCTTCGGTCAGGAAAGGCATAGAACGCCCTCCAGCGAGACATTTCCGGCAGGCTCTGTTTCCGCCGCCACATTCTTAGATGCTGTCAATCCTCCAATTAGGGTCGCCGCTTCGTTCCGCAGGAGTCTGCCCTACTGACGCCTGAAGACCGATTCTGCCTCGCGGATTACTAGATTCGGTAGCAGAGGTGTTGTGGCGCTTAGAGCTTGCAGAAACAGGGCGGTACTGTAGCTTCTAGGCGAGCTAAGCCGGGGCTTTCGACGTTTGGAATGGCATTCAACCTGGGTAGCCCTTGATTAAATGCTTTAGTTGCATTAGATACCCCCATTATATCCAAAGCCTAGTTTGGGCATCGGACTGCTAATGTAAATTTATGTGGTCGAATTACGTGATTTAATATACTTTGGGAGGGTGGAGTATGTACCTAAGTTCGCTTCTACCTGGTACCTAGACGGCTTTTAAAATGTGGTATCCATAGACGATAGCCTATCGAATACGTACATGATATCTAATAGGCAGCAGGCTACTTGTGGTTTTATTATTCTCTTAATAATTCGGGGCTGGTTACTTGCTATATGAAGTTCTAGTCTCTCTGCTTAAGTATAGTAACTGATGATTGGTCGAATTTAAAATACAGCCCCCTTCAGATCAGGACTATAGTTGTGTACACATGCATGTAGCAAGGGATAAGCCTTGGGAAAAAGGGACCTGTCTAAAAGTCGAACCAACCATAGATCTCGCACAATCCCAAAAAGGCAAGTAAAAAATCAGCAAGCATCCTCTAGTCAGTCAGGGAGCGCTTTGGATTTCACTTCATGGGGCAAAAGCAATGAAAAACAATACGCAAAACCGTAAGACCTTTAGTTATACCTAACCTTGCTGCCTCCTATGTGTCTGAGAGAATTTTACGGCAACGTCGCTTAAAGAGTGCCAATTGTATGCTGTTCGAGGACAAACCAGGCCGTCGAGGTAATACTTCGATTTTCGGAAGCATTCCGGCTGCAGGAACCGTGCCCTCTGCGTAGCGACGATAAGGTATGTTGCTGCCTCTGCTCGAAAATTTTGACCATTTATCATGCTTCAAATACGGCAATCGGAGCAATTCCTTGTTCGTCTGCGTGGTCTACGCCTAGTGCCAGTGCTCTGTGAAATTCGTGTTTGCGTACGCCTTGTGCGCGGGATTTCGTCATTTACTTGCCTGGTCTAATTCTACGTATACCAGAGTCCATCCGTCGAGTGGAAAATTCTCTTGGGAGCAGAGATTACATCTTCTCTCCTTAACCCGTTATACTCTATTGATTACACGCTTATACAGTCTCACATGTAGGTACATACAAGCAAGGCAAGACAGAGAAGGGGAAAAGGAGTGCCTCACCAGAATAATACGAAAAAAAAAAACTTGTATTATTTAGCAATGAAATTAAAAAAGAGGCAAAAGAAATGCCCAACACAGGAGTCGAACCTGTTGCCTCCTCATTGCACATTCCGACAATGTATACTAGTGAGGCGCTCTACCGGTGAGCTAGTCGGGCCAGACCGTAAGACCCGCTTTCACGGATGATTGAAAATTTTGGGTGCTATGACAACTCATATACCTTTACGACCCGTGCCGGGGCTCACCGCTTAATACTCCTTTGGAATACGAGAACGATTCTTCGAAGTTGCAATGTTGCCATTTTAAACTTGAATATTTGTAGAATACACGTACGCTGGTCGAGGACGGACTACGAGAAACCACGAAGCTAGGGAACCACGTCAAGCGGTGAGAAACCCACATAGGGACGGCCATCAACAGCGACGCCATCATACAGACAAGCGCACGACTGTGGCAGTAAACTACGGCAAAAGAAATGGCAATTTCTAGAAGTAGATGCAATCACTTAGCCCTACCCTGTCCTGAAAACTGAAATACCACGTAATATTTAATCCATTGCTGGAGCCCTTGTATCTGTCTGCCTGTCTGTTCGTCTGCCAGTGTGCAATATGCATCATGCCTTAGAAGAAGCTACTCTATTATACAATGGCAATGTGGTCCCCTTTTCTCTCCCTTTTTCATTCCCTTTCCTTTCCTTTTTCGCAACTTCAGATGAAAGACGAGAGACAAAACAAACTTTTCTCTCGTAATTGCTTTGCAAATGGGAACGAAACGCCGATGCCAAACAGAAGAAGAAGGAATCAGAAAGCAGGAAGCAGAATGCGGTCGTCGTGAATCATTGTTCGTGGGAACTTTATCCGGTGCGATGCGGTGCGATGCGGTGCGATGCGGTGGTGCCGCCCGCCTGCGAAATCATTCTAAGTTAAGTCGTGGTCATACCGTCGTGCGCGTAGCGTTGAAGAAAGAGTGCTTTTGGACTGAAAAGGGAATTTGAAAACGAACGCATGCGTGTGAATGGTTCGAGAGGGCGGGATGGAGAATTCTAGAGAGAGTACGTGATATGCCAAGGAAGAGTTCGTATGTATAGGGATATGATGTGCTCCGAGGAAAAAGGGGATATGGCGAGGTAATGAATACTATCGTAATATCCTACGCCAGAATTCCAATTTGGAAAATCCAAGGCTTTAAGGGAATGTTAAAGCCTTACTTATCACCCTTGCTCTGTGGACCTCGAGTCAGACGCGCTCCGTTGGAGCTCGCAACCGATGCAGAGACAGCCTCTTCGCCAGTGCCGTTGTCATTACCAGTCTCCTCAAGGGACTCGAGCGAGGAATAGGGATTCGTCGTTGGCACACCACCACCTCCTCCAGCGTTCGATGCAGTACCTGCACCACTAGTCTGCTGCGACTGTGCTACGCCTAAACCAGCTGAATCTCCCGTGTTAACGGCGGCTGAAGCAGGTGTCATAGTAGAGCCACGGCTAGGAGGCGCGATGGGACCGAAGGGAGAGCCGTAAGACACTGCGTGCGAAACCTAGTCAGATACACCTCTCGTGAGGACATAGGGGAGAGGTATAAGGAAAGCAACATACCTGGAGGAATTCTCACACTAGCTCCCACACCTCGCGCCACACCACGGCCCGTTCCCAAGGCCTTCTGCTCCGAAGCATGGAACTCGCCGCTGCGTCGCCAAGTCGGAAGACCGGGGGTCGTGGGACTAGATCCTATTCCAGAACCCACACCCACACCAACATCACCACTTCCCACACCACCTCCTCCGCCTCCAGCACCACCACCGCCAACTCCCGCACCACCTCCACCGCGTCCCATAAACCTCTCCCTACCCTCCTCCCCAAGCCCAGCAGCTCCTATAACCGGACCAGGGCCCTCCCGCTGCCGGGACAGATCAGCCTGATGCTTCTTCCACCAAGCAGGAAACCCGTGAAACAGACCCAACTGGTGCTGCGTGACCTTGTCGAACGGCATCTCATGCTTGTACTTGCAGCCCTGCTGCGTGAAGGCGCAGACGCCCTCGTGGACCCATTTGTCGCAGTAGATCTTTGGGCGGCGCTGGGGTTGTTGGGTTCCGTGACCACCACCGTGAGTGGAGTGGGTAGAGTGGCCGCTGTGGTGGGGTTGGTGGTGAGAGTGTGGGTGCGTGTTGGAAGTAGGAGCAGCGGTAGGAGTTGAGCCGGGACCGAGGCCGCTGACTCCTCCTGCGGGAGATAGGGAGAGCGAGGGCTGGTGGTGCGAGGGAGGAGTTGGGGGCGTGGCGGCGACTATGGTGTCGATTCGGGACTGCGGTGGCAGAGGGTGTGTTAGCAAGATTTGATTATAATTGGATATCAAGGGCATAATGCCGGTGGGAGGTAGAAGTGGGACTCTAAGGGAATTTGATAGGCTTGGGCTTGGGCTGTAAGGCTCCGTTTGTGTGTGAAAGACATTCAGTCCAATGTGTAGACTTTTCGATATAACAAAGGGAATACCGCCTGCGACCTTGAATATGACAGTGAAGTAGATGCTATATCGGTGCTCTGACGTAAGGAGTTCAAGAAAATATCTGGGCTTACCTGGATAGTGTCAGAAGGTGAAGTTGGGGTATTCGGAGGGCTCTATATGCTCGTCAGCATACTAGGCCAAAACAAAGCCATATAAATCAATATAGGAAAATATGTATTCACTCACTCGAAGAAGAACCGGCTCAGTGTTGCTCGACCGTCCATTCGGCGGCGACGTTCTGGGCTGCGGGAGCACGATCATGCCCGAACAGTTCTGCTGCAGCGCCGGAATATCCTTCAAAGGCGGCAGCATATCAGCCGGGATTAGACGCGTGTACTGGCCGTTGCCTCTATCGTAACAGTAGGCGTAGCTGGAATCCAGCTGCATCTCCGACACGGTGCCTGGGGTTGGGTAAGGCACGATGCCAGAAGGCTGCTGGTGTTGGGGAAACTGCTCCATACGGGGACTAGTATAGGTTGAAGGTGCGTGTTGTCGGATGCTAGGGCCGGTTTGCATGGCCATGGGGTGGCCTATAGCAGTAGGAGAAGAAGGATCGAACGGGGTATACTCGCCGGGTACGTTGCCGCTGCTACCACGAGCTGACATCGCCGCGGCCTCTTCAGCAGCTGCCTGCGATCTCCAGTTGGAGGAAGCAAGGCCTCTGGACTGAAGGCTAAGTTGCTGCATGCTGGATCTCAGTGTTTGGTTCTGGAAGGGCTGCTGCTGTTGTTGGGCCTGGTTGGCATTATTGCGGTCCGTGACGAGCTTGTTTCTACGTTCGTTGACGGACTGGAACGGGTTTCGATCCATCTTGGTTGGTTGGCGCTCGAGGAGTGTGTTGGGGGTATGTTCTATATCGGCGGTCAAATTGAGATCTAGAAGTGGTGAACGTGAATCTTGTCTAGAACAAGTAGAAATAGCGGTAATAGAATCAGGAGACGTGTTTCTAGTAGAAGTGTGGGAGGCTCCGGAGGAGTAGTAAGACAGAACGGAGGGGGAGTTGACAACAGATGCTGAGCATGGACCGGACGCGGTGGGGAGGGGAGGAGAGGTGGAAGAGGAGGTGTTGGCGGTGTCCATATTGAACAGCAGGAAAACAGATTTAATGAGTGGTCGACGCCTGACCCGATCAATAGAATATCAAAGAAGAAAAAAGGCTAATCAGAGCAAACGGGCAAGAATGGGCACACGCCGTATTTATACCGCCGTTGTGAGAGCCCTGATCAACAACGTCAGGAAAGTCGTAGTACGAAACAAGATCTAAGGCGGTTGGCTCTAACAAAACTGTACCAGACAGTCTACTCAATAAATGACATGAAAAAGGGTTGGGCGAGTTTTTGGTAGAAGAGGCAACAAGCCCTTTAAAGGAGGGCTGAGACCAATTTGTTCAAGCAAGCTGGCACACAGACGGAGGATCTACGCACACATACACGCATAACTACCATCACGGCCGTTTGCTGAGAAACCTCAAATAAGGTTAGATGCGTCTTACGGTTACCTGCAGCTCTGTCTTGTGTTTCCCACGTGACAAACGGCCTGGATACAGTTGGACAAGACATAAAAACAGGGGAAAATGTCTTGGGCACAAATCAAGAAGAAAGGCGATCTTTTCTTTCATACGTATTGTACAATTCATTGCCTAATTAACGTACCCTTCTGATGCAAAGGAGTCAGGGCAGAAAGAAGCAGCATAATGCTCTCTTCACTATTTTACGTGCAAGCAGCAAAAGGCATCTACCTGTAGGGACAAGTCTAACCTATGGGCAATCAGAATCAACGCAACTCAGGCGATGTGATTCACAAGGTGCAATTCAAGAGGTGTAGTTCAGGATATGCAATTCTGGTGTTTTCGGGGTATTTTCCGGTCGTGCTTCACCAAGCATGTTTCAGGAGGCGTAATTCAATAGGTGTAACTCGGGTAGAATTCATGAGGTGTAATTCAGTAGGTCAGGTATTTCCCACTATGTTGCAATCCATAGGCTTGCTTCTTCATCGTGCTGCTATTTTTCGTAGCTGATTGACTAACATGTCTCTGATAGTCCTGACATGAGGACTGTCCGCTTCAGTCCTGAGAGAATCGATGGCGATTCGGAGAGAGATTTCGGAGTTGAAATTAATGCAGCTATTCACAACAGAATGCTGTCGTTTGCAGACTAGGCAGACCCCTCCCACGCCAATGGACCAAATGGGAGGATTGCTAATAGGCGGGTTGAGTGTGGACGGTGTTGTGGTGGTCTGCGTCGACTTCACCTTCGGAGGTTGATTTAATGTATGAGCGTGGGATGGTACCGTGCTGGTCTGCGTCGACTTCACCACCTTGGGAGGTTGAGCTAACGTAGGAACGTGGGATGGTACCGTGGTGGGCTGCATCGACTTCACCTTCGGAGGTTGAGTTAACGTAGGAACGTAGGATGGTACCGCGGTGGCCTGCGTCGACTTCACCATCTTGGGAGGTTGAGTTAAAGTAGGAACGTGGGATGGTATCGCGGTGGTCTGAGTCGACTTCACCATCGGTGATTGAGTTAATATAGGAGCGTGGGATGGTATCGGGGTCAACGGTTTCCATCTCAGCGCCGGAGGTTGCATTGGTGCAGGAATGTTGGAAGGTAGTTGTGGAAGGGTGCCGCGAACTTGTTGAGACGGTGGCCGAAGGGGCGGC